TATGGGATGACACTCCAACTAACTCAGCCACCTGGCCAGGGCTTTCTAATATTGATTTTAAGTTTCTGGGTTTTCATTCGGAGTCACAAAAGATAGATATTTACAGAAAATCAGAAACAATTGTCCAGGGGGTGCTTAATGACTTAAGGTTATTTTTTATTGGTTTTAATTGATTATTTCAGATATCCTAAAATGACCCACATGCTTAGACTCAAAATTATGTGTTTCCTTCAACAGTACCCTGCTTCTAATTGTTGAAACCAAACGGTTTTAGAAGAGGTGGACTTAAATGACCTATATTTGGTCCTTCCCCTGGGGGCAGAGCACTAGGACAGATGGTATAAAAAGACAATTAACTCTCTGCTTCCTAAAGTCTTATGCTTTAGTGGAAGAGAAACATCTAAATAAAGAAAATGATAAAACAAAATGAAGATCATGAATAGACAAAAGTCCCCTCAATTCAGGTGAAAAAGGTGAAATGAATTATATTGGTTGCTCAATATCAAAGAAAAAAAGAGGCTCTCTTACATTTGCCTGGTTTATTAGCCAGAACATGGTGAACTCTTCCAGTATAATCTGGTAGGTGGAGATGTGTGCATGGGAGAATCTGCTTGGGTATATGTAATTGACAACAGCTTGAAAATGGCAGGTTAGTGCCTATCAGCACACCCAGAAAGCCAGGGTGTTTGGACACTGAGTGTCCTCTCCAAGGAAGGCTCCAGCATGGCTTATGGAAGCTGCTCTTAACATCCTCCTTGAAATCTTCAGACTGAGGCTCAGACATGGAAGAGGCATGAAAAAACCTGGATTCAAACCCTGGCTCTACCACTGACTGTGTGGCTTTGGACAAGTTTTGTTCTTAACCTTCCAAAAGCTCGATTCCTTCAACTCTAAAAATAAGAGCAATAACAGTATTGAATCCATAGTGTATTTGCGGATTTCATGCAATCATCCATGTGCAGAACTTTTCATGATACCTGGTACTTAGGCATATAGATGGTCAGAATCAAAAACAGCAGGCTGACTCTCCTTTCTTCCACACCTAAACCCTCATGAATTAGAGTCCCAGCCATGGGCAAGCTATGGCCCGCGGGCCGGATCTGGCCCGTTTGAAATGAATAAAACTATTGAAAAAAAAGAGCGTACCCTTTTATGTAATGATATTTATTTTGAATTTATATTAGTTTACACAAACACTCCATCCATGCTTTTGTTCCGGCCCTCCGGTCCAGTTTAAGAACCCATTGTGGCCCTCGAGTCAAAAAGTTTGCCCACCCCTGGACTAGACACTGAACAAGGGTGTGCCTTCTCCTATATACCATTGTTTTATTCATTCCCTCCCCAATGCTCGGAGCCCAGAGCTCTTATCACAGCCCAAGGAGAATCTGTGACTGGGCTATGCTTTCAGGGCAGGGCTGCAGATGGAAGGGTGCTCCTGCTGCGCTGTGCAGGGCCCCGTATTGGATTCACGTGTCCAGAGGAAGCCCTTGAGGGCAGTGAAACCTTTCAGCCCTTCCAACATATTGTCAGTGCACAGCCCCAAATAATTTTTTTTTTTTTTTTTACTGATTTCAGAGAAGAAGCGAGGAGAGAGAAATAGAAACATCAATGATGAGAGAGAATCATTGATCAGTTGCCTCCTGCGTGCTCCCAACTGGGGATCAAGCCCGCAACCCGCGCATGTACCTTAACTGGGAATCGAACCTCCTGGTTCATAGGTCCACACTCAATCACTGAGCCATGCTGGCTGGGCACAGCCCCACATCTTACCTGACATTGAAGAGCCAAGCAACGGCAAAAAGACTCAAATTCAAAAGGACAGCAAGAGAGGAATTATAACATTATGTACACCTGGGGGAACTAGGGAAGTCGCATGAAAGTAATGTGCCTTTGAATTCTCATTGGAACACCCTTGCTGCCCTATACTGTCCCGCCATGGAGACTGAACAGGAAAGGAAAGGGCAGCCCCTCTCTCTGGATCTGTACCTCTTGGCCTCCCTCCCTCCCAGCAGGCTCACACCACCGCCCCCTTCCCACCGAAGTACCTTCCACCGGAAGTGATCATTGCTCTCAGCCCCTGGTCTGGCTCTCTGCTCTGCTGCACTGCTGATCAGTCTCCCTTGACTAGAAACTCAGTACCCCCTGCAGAGTCTGCACTCTTGCTTTGAAGTTACTTGTATCCGGTCAGAAGAACCTTTTAGTTCTAGTTCTAAATTGAGCGCCTTGGTGGTTTCCATCCCCTGATAAGCAGGGCAGCTGGACTCTACAGCAGTCACACTGGGCCGCCTCGGTTCTTAGTCACCTTAGGGAGTGGATGCATAAAACTGGCAGCACCTAAGTCTCTTCATGACGGATAAGAAACGGAAGTACCCAGGGCAGTCAGTAAACTTAGACAATGAGCAGAGAGTTGTGTTTTAAGGCAAGTAAGACGTGCATACTCTATTCTGGTTTGTAGAGGGCACTTGGGGGTTCAGCTACATTTCTATAGGGAAAGCACTGTAATTTGTCTTGGAAACATTCTAGAGATAAGGAGGAAGCATTCAACACCCCAGTCCTAGTACAGCAGCCTACAGAAAAGCTGGGTACAGCGGGAGGTGGGGGTGTCCTTCCTTCAGCTATGGGGTACCTCTCATTCCCCCATCCGGCTTACTGACAGAGTATAGAGCAAAAGGGAAAAAGGTTTCCATTCCACTTTTCCCACTTACTATTCACTTTGGGTAAGTTATACCCACCTCAAAAGCCTGGGGGAGAAGGAAACAGAAGCATATGCGTAAGGTGCCTAGCAGAGGGCTGACCTACAGAGAGACTCAGTACTGTTACTTCCCACCTCTCCCTCCCTGCCTTCCCGCACATCACAGCCTCTTATTGCTAATTGCACCTCTTTCCTCCGCGATGTTAGACACAAAATATTTCCGTTATCCCAAGCGGCAGAGTGGGCCCTCTGCGTCAGCCCTGTCCACAGGCGCAGCAATGCACAGGCCAGCATCAGCATTTCTATCAGGATGACACTTGTAATGGATGATTGCTGCACTTCTTAATCCATTTATGTAATCCTTCCTGCTTTGCTTGCAGTTATTTACAGGGCTTTAGCAGCAATAAAATGGTTCCTTTCCCAAGACAGAGTTCATTCAATTCAAATCTGGATTGATTGTAGCTAAACTTCTGATGTCTTTACAAAGGAAGAAAAGAAAACCAGCAATAAGTTATGCCTAGTAATTATTTGGCATGTATTCAGCCCCCACATGTCCTGGGCTCAGCATATTAAAGTTGGGGAAATACCTCTGTCCTTGAGAATCAAGCGTAGTTGCACATATGAAAGGCACTCAGGGCAGGGCACCGATTCAATTCCCATTGAGTTCTTTATTCCCGAGGTCATGTGGCCATCTGGCCAGTCTGTCAGCTGACTTCATGGGGTTAAGTGCCTTCACCCACTAGTGCCTTCTTTTGGTTTCCTTCAGATGTAGTCTACTGACAGCATCCTTAGCCTTGAACCTCTGCCCCCAAAGAACTCTCTACTGCTCCTCAAGCAGTTTTGGTTTGCGACTAAGACTCCTTGGGGCCAGAGTCCAGGGTCAGCCTGATGATACCCAACTGGCATTAGAGGGAACCCTCCTGTGGTGGCCTCTGTGGTGACAAAGGACGTGCACTAGGCAATGGTGTGGAACTCGGGCAGACAAGGAACTTTCTCCTGAGGACATGGTCATGTATGTGCTCAACAGTCAAGGATTTGCATGTCAGGTGGATGGAGGACTGGATGGATTTTGAAACCACTAGTTAAAATGCAATTTATATAATATAAGACAAATGTAATTCCTATACATCTTTGTGACTAAAATGTGAAAATATAGGATGATGCTCTTCATTCATAGAAGACCCCGTAACCATACCCCCTGACAATCATGTGTATAGAGTAACAGCCAAAAGAAAGAAATAGAGAATAAACGCCTGATTTTTTAAAATTTTCATTTTTGACCATTTGCCTTTAAAAGAAAATAAAGTCAAAATTAATCAAAATGCACAATAATAAGCAGTATTGGGTATCATGCACACTAGAGTCAATCTTTCAAATATTGCTGTGAAATAGGTAGCTATGCTATTTACATTTTATAGATGAGGCAGCGGAGATTCAGAGCAGTTAAGGAGGCAGAGCCATGATGTGAAGGCAGCTGAGCTTTCCTGCACAGCCCAAGACTTAACCACTAAGCTGTACTGCCATCTAGGACCCGATGCACAAATATGCATCAGATTCACAGCCCCCAAATGCCATTTTCTTTGACCTTTGAGTTGAAATAAGCTAAAACCTTTTCCTTTCTCACCTTGACCTGAAAGCTTTCACTGCTGGTTAAACATATTAGAGTGATTGTCCCTGATATAATTCAAATTATATTTAAGTAATAGTTTAGAGTTAGGATTTATTTAGAATAAAGAATAATTTTTAAAGATAAAGGCAATTAGCCCTAGCTGATTTGGCTCAATGGATAGAGCCTCAGCCTGCGGACTGAAGGGTCCTGGGTTCAATTCTGGCCAAGGGTACATACCTGGGTTGCGGGCTCGATCCCCAGCAGGGGGCATGCAGGAGGCAGCCAATCAGTGATTCTCTCTCATCATTCTATCTCTCGCTCCCTCTCCCTTCCTCTCTAAAATCAATAAAGTATATATTTTTTAAAAAATATAAAGTCAATTATTTCAAATTGCTGGCCATTTACTTATTTTAACCTCAGAACAATTTTTTTTTTTTGCATTAGAAAACATACAAGGAAATTTGAACCAATATATAGATTTAGCCACGTCTTTTAGGGTTTTTGGTTTTTCTTTGTTGTTGATGATAATTATTTTTTTGAAAGGCATGTAGGATCGAAAGAAAAGTGAGACTTTTCACCTGTGATATTTGGAGTAGTAATGGAGATCCCAAAGACATATTCAACCCCTTTCCCCGAAACACATGCTGCGTGTTTTTGCTTACAGCGTGCACTTGCTCACACAGTGTGTGTTTCTTACAGTGGACCTGGACAGGCTCAATGATGACGCCAAGCGTTACAGCTGCACTCCCAGGAACTACTCCGTCAACTTGCGAGAGGAGCTGAAGCTGACCAGCGTGGTCTTCTTCCCGCGGTGCCTCCTTGTGCAGCGCTGCGGAGGGAACTGTGGCTGCGGCACTGTCAACCGCAAGTCCTGCAAGTGCACTTCGGGGAAAACCGTGAAGAAGTATCACGAGGTACGTCACGTTCAAATGCCTTTGTTGAAGTGCCGCATTTAGCAGTTCGGCTGCAAGAGGCACGTCATTCACGGGGAGGAGAAGACAGGACCATTGGGTACAGTTGGTCAGTTCTTTCCCTGCAAAAGGGCTCCCGGCCAGGGTGATGACTGGGACCTAAAATAATACTCAGGGTAAATTTGTCAAGCTAAGTGCCGGGGGAGGATCTAAGTTCATCCTAAAAAAAGGGGACTTCTTTTCTAATCCTCATCGTATACCACCTGGGTTGACAGGATAAGTATATAAGCAAATGGATGGTGAAGTAATTTCAGAACTTATTTGGCTTCCTTTGTAGAAATATGATGTTATTTATTTAAAGGATCTGACTACAAAATGTAGATTCTTTTAAGAAAATGCTAAGAGCCAAACTTTAATTCAAACAAGTGATTAAAAATGAAGCAATGCAAAGATAGCAAATGATTTGTCAGAAAATATACATCGTCGGAGACATTTTTATTCTGTAATTATAAAAGTGTTCTCTTTTAGAAATACAATTTTTTCTTCCTAAATACTACTGAATGGTACCTGGGGAATCAGCTCTGAAATTATGCTAAAATAAATAAGAAAAACAAAAATGTAAGGAGAGAGCAGTAACCTTTAATAATAATTATATAAGCAAACTCTCTTAAGTATTTAGAATGTGCCAGATATTATTATAAGGAATCATTAACTCACTCAGTATTTTCTCAACACGCCTGTAAAGGGGCGGGGAGGGGGGTATAAACTGAGGCCTAAGAAGATCAGTAAGTTGACCAGTGTGACACGGTTGGTGAATCATAGATCCAGGACCTGCACTCTGATCATTGCTCCCAGAGTCTATGTTCTTGTTCCTATTAACGCCGTGCTGTCTCTTTTAAAAGACATAGCATGTTATTGTGCATCAAAGAGTACACTTAGGGGAATCAGAGCTGCTCCTGACACTGACATCAGCCTTATTACTTCCTGACTGTGGGAGCACAGGTGAGTCACCACAGTTTAGAGACTCAGTTTTCACACCTGTGAAATGGGACTAAGGAAGGGTATCAGTTAAGCTCTTACAGAGCAGTTCTGGGGATCAAATAATGTCTTGCACATGAAATGAGTTTTTCAAGATGTGAAACATAAAACAGAAACATGTTTCAAAATATAAACTAGAATGCGGAGCAAACAGTATTCTTAGGAATCATTGTGTGAGTTGCTTTTTATCAGTATCCGCCAAAACAAAAACAAAAATAGACAGTGCTCCCTACATGAAATCTCCAGCTTTGTAAAAGTGTTTTTGTTACCCTGTTAACAGTAAAACAATAATATTAAGTTAGGCGGTAACTCTGGAGCCAAATGAAAATGGATGTGTCATAAGCAGCATTTTCCACTTGGGAAATGCAGGGAGCTGCGGGCCACTGGCCGTGCTTACCTTACACAGAGAAAACACACTCTTCAGACCTACATGGAACATACCCTCTTAGTCACAAGAATTTCTTACTCCACCCAAACAGTTTTCAAAGGAAAAAAAAAAAAAAGTCCTCATAGCCAGAGAATGCTGTCATCAGTGCGCATTGTGTTCTATTTTTGTGTGACCTGATGAACTCTAGATTGGACAGTGTTCTGGAGTTCAAGAGCCTGAAACTCAATGTTTAGCTGGACCCTAAAGATGAATGCAGGGTGCAATGACCAGGTCAGAGTTGAAATAATCCTCGAAGTGACAGGCTCTCCACCTAGTCATAACCGTGAGGAAAAGCACGCGGGTCCAGTCTTTGATGTTTTGGGGAGTGCTTTATTTTCATCTCGACTCTCTGCTCAGTTACAAGGCACAGCTGGATTTTTAAAATCCTTCACTGCGTAAACGGCAGAGTTAAATACACACTAAAAGGACTCTCGCCTCCCAGACGGGGTCCTGTCCTTAGTTCCTTTCTTGTCTCTGTACACAATCACTGCTACCTATAAACTCCTGTAAACAATTAATATCGGAAGGGGAGGCCTTTGATCTCTTCGTTCAGTCACACAAACAGGTCGACACTGTTGCCATCTTTTGAAACTGCTGTCTAAAGCATCTCTTTGAAGCCGGTGTCACAATATGTTCACTTCTAGGAGACTGCAGAGCTCTACACAAAATCACTCGGCCACGTGCTGGACAAAGGGACCAGGCAGCAGCATCACGCAGCCAGTAACTGCACCCCTGGAACTAACAGGCCTGGCCTATCCCTCCCCAACTCCTAAAATGCCCCTGAAACATGTCACAGTGATCACTCTTCCGGGTGACCCACGGAAGGGCAGCAGGCTCGTTCCACTTCCAGAGACGGGGGTTGCTTGAACTGGTAGTTCTGTGTCTGTTTTCTTAACTCAGAGACAGGAAAGCCCAGTTTCCTCAGCGCCTGGTTATAACTGATGAGATGTGAAATGAGTTTCCGTGAGAGATGAGCACCCCTACGGGTGACTGGAGCTCATCACATAAGCAGGCCTGTGTGACTCTCCACAAACACTTCGATGCTCAGCGTTTAAGGAATAAAATGCGGACATTTTAAAGCTCTCAGTGGAGCTAATACCATTGCTTTGTTGGAAGGTTGTGCTGTTTCTGCTGTAGGGGGTTAGCGTTCTTCCCAGTGCAATAGGGTGTTAGCATCTTTTTATTTTCTGTTCTCAAAGGTTGTTAGGTATCCTGTTAAAGTATTTTTTCTTTTCCCTGACAACTATTCTATGCCTCTTGGAATAAATAGGATATAAAGGATACCTTAGGTAGTGATTTTTAAATGGGGAAGGTTCCAGAAAACATAGTGTGTAGACAGAGGGTGCTATATATATAAATTCTCATCTTCCCTCGATAATGGGTAATGAAGGAGTAGGATGTTCCCTAGAAATTCGATGAGCTTTTTCATTAACATTTACTGTTTTTCATCATGTGGTCTCCTATGTCCATTCAGTCAACAGCTAAAAAGGTAGGAAGCATCAGAGAGAGAAAGATAAAAATTAATTTTCTTTGTCCTTTCTCTCATGATTTTGTCACAAAGCTGATGTAACCCTATACTAGTAGAATTTCTAGTTTCATATTTAGAAATTCTACTGTTGCATATCTACACTGTCCAAAATAGTACTTACTAGCAACATGTGGTTACAAATCTATGTCACACACACAAGAAACTGAAATTTTCATTTTATTTACCTTAACATTAATGTAAATAGCTGCACAAGGCTAATAGCAACCATACTGAACACACAAGCCTGTTTCTGACACATTTACAACATCTAGGATCATTCTTGTCTCTGCACAGAATTAAAAATAACTCTCCAGGATTCTTTTAATTTGAATGTAGAATTTTATATTAAAAATTGCTTCCTAATACAGTTTAAGAGTTAGAGATATAAGCATATACCTATATATGAATCAGAGGATTAATTACAGGTAATAAAATATTGCACTAAAAGAATAGTACTTTCAGTTTTTACATGCTCTAAGTATTTGCTATTGAAAAACTTTTAGCTAAAATTATAAATTAAGACCAAGAAGACAGAAAAACATTTTTTTTCAGAGTTTCTACTCTATTTTTTTCCTGGAACTATAATTTCTAGAGCTTACATAGACTTCCCTTTAGTCTTTCTTTCTTTTTTTTTTCCTTTCTCCCTCTTGATTGAAGCCATAAGACAGCTCTTTTCAGGCTGTGTCTGTTTTCCCCTGAGAGCCAGGGCAGTTTTTTTGGATTATGGTTCCAGATCTACCTCATGGGAGGCAACCTGGGACCAGCCAAGTAAAACCCCCCAGGGCCCCAGGTTTCCTCACTTATAACCTACAATGTTGAGTTCCAGACAGACCTGAAGTTACATGCTATCCATTCGCTGTTACCTTCTTTCCTAGCCCCCAAATCTCATCTTACTGAAATTGTGTATGGAAAATAAACAAATTGGTGGTTGAAGTGCTAGGTAAATGCAAAATAATAAAGATGTAATCTGGAACAGTTAATGTTTATGGAGAAGTTAATTCATCAGTAATAACACCTGTGCTACTTAGCTCCTGGGGCTACTGAGGGAATGAAAGCCTCTCAAGACTAAAAAGCACAAAACAGATGTGAGTGGAATTTTCTGAGCCTGTTCTGGCTTCCTCAGTTCTGACAGCCCTGATAACTCACCTAGTGAGTGAAGGGACTCCCCTGAAGTACTACAGAAGGCGCTCATTCGTTCCCTTGCAGATCTAGCTTCACATCACGCCTTCCTGCCAAAGATTAGCCTGTCTTAGGGCAGGATGCTCCTCAGGTAGACAAGACCCATCTGTGTCAAGAATGAGTCTCAGCGCTATTGCCATACTCTGAAATCTGGTGCCCAGCTAGGCTTTCATCATGTTTTCTGCAATGGCTCGGCTGAACATGTAGCCACTGATTCTCTAAAATCAAAATCATTTGACTGATATTTAAAAATATTTTTTTATTGATTTTAGAGAGGAAAGGAGCGGAAGAGAGAGATAGAAACATCAACGATGAGAGAGAATCATTGATCAGCTGCCTCCTGATGCCCTCTGCTGGGGATCCAGCTCACAACCCAAGAATGTATCCAGATCAGAATCAAACCTTGACCTCCTGGTTCATAGGTTGATGCTTAACCACTGAGCTCATTTGACTACTTAGTTTTGTAAAGGAAGGACCTGCACTTAAGTATACCCCATAGCAACCCCAGTGTGTTCACAGAAAACTTCTATTAGAAGTAAATGTCCACTGATATCAAGATTGGATTTTCAAAATTCATGAGTTTTATAGGCTCCCAGCCTTTGATTACCTTCAAACTTAATTTGTCAACAAAACGTTGCTGAACTTTTCATCATTCGTGTCTTTTTTATTGAATGCTCTGTCTTGTGACTTGGAATCACTTCTCCTATTGCAAGGCTGCCTCTGCTGCAACTACTGCTGCAAGCTGGGCACTTACCCAGGTAGAAAAGAATGCTATCCCTTCTCAAAGTATTTTTGCTGTGCTCACTTCGATTTCAGAAAAATCAACTACCAGCCGTTAAAATCTTGACTCTATGCACATTTTTTCATATAGTCTTTAAGCATGAAAAAAGTCAAAATGGAAGCAAAAATAAGAACTGTTTTCTTTAAATCTTAACATAAGAAACTATATGTGTACTGAACAGTGCTGCCTCAGAAGTTGGGGGAGAATCTTAAATAAACTCTTAATGATTCAGGTTTAGACATTGCATTTTTCCTGAAATATGTACTTGTGTTCCTATGTCAGCCATTAATTTGAGAACTGTCACAAGGCCTTAACAACCTTTTTAAAATATATATTCCCAATAAACAAGAAGGCAACTCAGCCGATAGCTTTTCTGCATGGTATTGTTTTATTAGTGTAATAGCTTTATGGCAAGGATTCACTCGGTGGTTTATTGGCACTAAAGTTAAATATCTTTTGTGATATGGTAATTTGCAAACTGAGCGTTTTTGGCTTTGTGTAGTGTTATGAAAGCTACCAACGTGTGCCATCATCCTTCATTTAGTAAAAGTCAACTTTCCCTGGCATCACATGTGTTCGCAGGTGGTGAAGAGGAGTTGAGATTTCCACTTTCACCCACATTTCTTAATGGCTGACTGCCCTTCACTGAATTTTTACTTCAGTGTGTGTGCTTGCAGCTGTGAATCACAGCTCGGAAAATAGGAAATCATTTTGTGATGGTTCCTATTAGCAAGTGTCCAGCAGTGGCTGTAATTAATTCAGTGGTTCCTTCCCTTTGACGGTGACCAGATAACCCATAACTAGCCAGTTTGCTATCTCAGATAAAAGCTCTTCATTTTTCTTTTAACTTTCCACCATCTCTCAGATCAGCTTTGCTCTCTGCCTTCTTGCAGTGCTGTGTAGCTGAACTTAAGACTATTACATGGTCTGAAAGCTTTGAACATCGGCCCTGTGATCAGTCAGCAAAGCAGTCCAATTTCCACTTTGTTCAAACAGTGCTTTCCCGTCTTGTCTGGGAAAGTGTCTGCCAATTCATTTTTCTCTTCTTATCAGCAAAACACATATATGCTGTGCTCACATTGCTTAATATGAAACACAGGGAAAACCCCTAACTGTCAGGAGGCAAGTTAGGAACACTGCCCAGTCTCCGCTCTCATCTCAAATGAGAAAGCAAATGGAATGAGAAAGCAAATCAACAGTGCTGATTTTATGGGTGCCACTCATTGCAACGTAAAAAGCTTCCATAAAGGCCTTCTTTAAAAAGAGAATATTTAACGTATGCTCTTCTTCTTATAAATCATTTTCCTCCCCTGTATCTGCCAGCCCCCAAATCCCATTTACATGCAGCTAGTCTTGGACAACAGCTAATTTGTATTGAGAAATTCTTGGCAAAGCTGTAGGACTCCAGCCTCTTACCCCTTCTTAGGCACTCTGATCAAATCTGTACTGGGCAGGGCTGCTGAACACCCCAGAGGTAATCAATACATTCTTCAACTATTTCTTCTTTTGCTTATTTTTTCACTGAGAAGCGGCATCTTTTGTGTTTTGTAGTTAGCCAACAGGAGAGAACATGGGAGCAGTGGGCAACTGTCAATGTAACTCTGCTCTTGGTATTTTACATTTCCTTTCAAACATGGGAAAGGATTAAAAGTGGTCTAAAGCATGGGCCCCTCTTTTGGCCTCTTCTTTATTGCCTGGCTTGTTTTGTCCCCTGTGTTTGTTGGAGGTAGACTAGAAGAGATGCGGGAAGGAGGTAAAAAGGATGAATCCGGAATTTTCACTCCCTCCTGCATTGCGGGCATCCCCCACCACCTTCACCCAGGAGGTTTCTTTAGCAGCTACTATATTTCCAGCATGCTGCCAGCTTATACAAACAAAGTTTTCATTTCATGGGTAAGGTCATGAGTCAAACCCTGGCTCTACTAATGACTAGCTCTGTGATTTTGGGCAAGTAACTTAATCTCCCTCTTTTCTCATCTGTGAACAAAGTGAGTAACGTACTTAATAGTACGTAATGCAATAAAGTCCAAATCATTTATATTTACATGGCACAGGTGTGTCTGGTCTACCCAAGGAGGCACAAAAGGAAGTCGTAGGCACATTGGAGAGGCACTGGGTCAGAGTGTTCTAGGAGCCCAGAGGAAAAAGCCCAGCTCCCAGGCCCGAGTCCCCAGAGGACCCTTAGCTTTCTTTAAAGTTTCCATTCTGTAATCTATACAATGGAAATAAGGATTCCTCCTCTAGTTTGTGATGCGGTTTGTCTGAGGGCAAAAGAAATAGTGCATCTGTGCAAATTCTTTGAAAAATGTAAAATGCCACATAATTGCATGGTACTACGACAGATTTCAGAGTCTAAAGGGAAGATAGAACAAAATCAAAAGTGAAGGCCAGAACCTAAGAGCATAAACAAGAAAAGCAATTAAACTGACCATATAGTATATATCAGAACAAGCACATAATTTTCCAAGTATGTGTGAAGGGATGACTGATATTTTACTTCAGCGAAGGCACAGCAGGAAAGAAGGGCTAGCTTCTATTTCAACTTACTAATTAAAAAAAATATATTTTTAAACGTATTCATTAAAAAATTGAGAATATACTTTATTAATTTAAGAAATGTTATATTGATACACAAATATTAATGTACAAAAATTTTAGTGATTTGAATTATAAAAGGTATTACATATTAACATATATGTAAGAACATAAACACATTTTCATTTATTCATAGCTGGCCCTAAAGATCTTCATTATGGCAGATTGTTTTACATCAGTCAAATATGTAGCAATATCGGCATTTTATGTCCATGACTTTATTCATTGTGCTGTCTATAGAAATAATAATATGCTAAGTATTGTTATTTGTCCATAACATATGCTTTGGCATAAGAATTGTCAGGACAATATTTGGGACAGCACCCGAGAAAAGCAGGCCCTTAGGAAGCTGTCAATAACTACATGCCAGGACCCCTGAGGTCATCTTGGTACTGCAGGTAAGTAATTCAGGAGGCACTGTGATCAGTTGAGCCCTTCACTTCCAGGAGTTGATAATTGTAAAAATAATTACATGTGTGAATTCTCAAAGGGTTAAGAACCAGCTGTCACAAAGAGAGTAAGTAACATCTGTTGAGTTGTACTCTAAGGGTTTTCTAACAGGAAATATGCTTATTGTCCTAGGTATTAAAGTTTGATCCTGGCCATCTCAGGAGGAGGGGTAGATCGAACGCCATGGCTCTCGTTGACATCCAGTTGGATCACCATGAGCGGTGTGATTGTATCTGCAGCTCCAGACCACCTCGATAAGAGAATATGCATGTTCAACTAATCATGGAAAATCCTTTAGTTCAGTGGTTGACAAACTGCGGCTCGCGAGCCACATGTGGCTCTTTGGCCCCTTTAGTGTGGCTCTTCCACAAAATACCACACTCGGGCGCACACGTACAGTGCGATTGAAACTTTGTGGTCCATGCGCAGAAGTCGGTATTTTGTGGAAGAGCCACACTCAAGGGGCCAAACCCTTTTGCCGGCCACTGCTTTAGTTTAAGGAGGGTGTCGTAAGTGACCCTTTTCCCACCAGCAGCTGAACTTACTGCTAGCCTGCAAAGCAATGAATACAAGTGGTTGTTGAGTTTCAGCTTAGCTTCCTTAGTGTCATGGCAAGCAGAAAGGTATATCATCAACCTCTATATCCAGAATATAGAATTGTATTTAACAATAGTGTCTGAGGATATATCCATGTCTACATGTAAATGGTCAAATGGTTTATTCAGTATATATAACCAGGTTCACCAGAGCTTACATAAGGTTGAGTCATTTAGTTCCTTAAAGTCTTTTGACAAAATAAGGGAAATAGTAAATACATGAAACATCTCTTTGAAATATTTGGAAGGTTAATTTATTTTTAAATTTTGAATCACAAAAAAATTTTAATCTTGCTCTTTTAAAGAAAGCACCTTATATATTAAAAACCAAAAGATGAGTTTTTCTTATATACCTCTTAACTATAAAAAAAGGAAAATATTGTTCCTGGGGAAAAGGCACAAACCAAACCATGTTTTCTCATGAGATACACTACATACTTACCTATGTAGACAATAATTACCTGTCTCCAAAAGCATGCCATGATAAGACAGGCGCTTTGGAAATTAAGTCTCCTTCTGGTGCATCTTGCTGAGGCATGCACATTTATGTAACACCAGTCTCAAAAAATTTTCTCAGAAGGTTTATTATTATAATCCTACAAAATGCAATTTATAAGCTGTAGTACAAATTTTAATTGTTTCCAGAAACCCATCTGCAGAAGTAACGTCTCTGGAGAATGGCCTGGGGACTCTGTATGAGCCTTTCACAACAATGCTCATTGAAAGATTTGGGTAGTTGAAAGTCAAAAAATTAAGCATTGAGGCATTAACCTTACTGGAAATTTGATAGAATACTTGATAGGACCCATATTTAATAATGAGTTCAAACTCTCCAAACTGTGCTAATTGATTTTATGTATATTGCTTCTGTATTCCTGTCTCTTCCATATACAGACATGGATTTACAATGGCATTTTATATTTGGCAAGCCATCATGGATTACTTATAGCCTAAAAGCCTTTGTGTATTAAAACAACCTAAGCTTATTTATGTAAACCCCTAATCACGTACACACTCCCCAACTGAAGTCCTGTTTCTGAACCAAGTGAAACTGGAGCTGGGGTCTCTAGTTCTTTGCCAAATCTATGGGGCTTATTCTAAGAAGTCACTCTGCAAATTGTGGGAGCAAGAGCTTGGCCCGGTTCCACCACTAGAAAACTGTTTCTGCATCAGTGGTTATCATTGCTATGCAGAGTAATTTTTCCTCTCTGGCTCCTTACTGTCTATTTGAAGGGAGACTGACTCCAGGAGTAGGAAGTGATTCATCATTCTCCAAAGCAAGACGCTTAAGAAAGCAACCCTGAAATCAAGATAGCTCAGGGGCTTCTCAGAGAGAACTACGTTTTTCTTGCTGCCTTGAAAGAAAAAAGGAGAGCCGATTTCCTTCCTGAGTCCAGGTCCCTACTGACTAGACCCAATTTGAGTGAGGGGCATATGACAGGTGCTTGTTAAGTCCCCGTCTCAGATGAGGGACCACAATCTATTTGGAATTTTACTAGTAAGCATGGTGCCCTCAGGACCAAATCCTCAGCTACCCCTAGCTCATTTCTTCTCAGCTCTTTGAAAAGAAAGGCCAATGCTTTTTGAAAATATGCCTTCAAAATGTGTCCAGGGGAGTGAGTGGTAAGATTAAACGGAGATTGTTGTGTTGTCCAAAGTCCCAGCGTGCAATCAGCAATAGTCAAGACAGACATCACTCTTCCCCTTCGTGACCATTTGCAAGTTTTCTATGAAAACATCGGATTCCTGTACCAAAACCAAAATGTGTGACATCACGTTAGCGTGTTCAGCTTACATCATGTCTGTAAGTAGGAAAAATGAGAGTGTTTTACCCAATTTTCAATAAATGTTCCAGGCTGGGAACCCGTGAAAGCCCTTGTCCGCACTTCTTATCTATTCGCTGAAATGTGAGCAGGCATATCCCCTCACTTTTCTTTTTTCTTTCCTCGGTGTTTTATTAAAACGTCTCCCTTGGTTATCTGTTACCTATTGTATTTCCAATAAAACTGTTTCATCGCCATCAAAGGAATAAAAAACTCACCGTACAAAGTGCATTTCAAAACAAACCCTAATAAATGCACCTGAAATAAATGCCTTTCATTCAATATGTTCTTAGAGGGCAAAACATTTTCAAAAGTAGCATTTTTGTGTTTGTCATATTGGTAACATGCAGCTTTTTCCCCTCATAGCAAATGTAATATCCCTCTTATCTTCCTGAAAAATAAATGTTGCTTTTAAACAAAAGTGCTCCATTATTTAGTACTCACTGCAGCTTTCAAAGCTGTACAATGTTACAAACTTGCTTTTACAAATGCATGCACCTGTTTGGAGTGACCATGTTGGGCACCTGATTTCTGAAGGATTGCTTTTACAGTGTTGAAGGAGCATAAGCCTTGTTCCCTGACAGCAGGATTCTACTCTGTCCTTGTCCTGAAGCCAGGCCATGAGGTGGGACTCGGGCTTTGTTGTTCTGTTACTGCTGTTATTGCTTCTTTGTATGAGTGTGTGTTTCCCCTGCGGCCTTTTAATGAAATATATCCTCCTCTGACATTGCTCATTTAGGTGAGTTCACAGCCCATCTCTTCCTCCAGACCCTGAAATCAATCACATCACAGACCCATTTCCCCACTGTCCGCCCGCACACCTTTCCCCATCTTGATGAATACCCTAGCAGCTGGTGGATCAGTGGTGTCAGTTCAGGGAGACCAGTTTAGAGGCTACGCTTCTGTAGACTCCGTTTTTTAATTTGGGTTGGGGGCCATATAAGGAGAGCTCTTCTCACTGCAAAACTTCTGCTTTTGCTTGTAGCTTAATCTTTATCATCCGGCTATCAGAGACAGGCCAGCAGCTGCACAGTGTGGGGTGAAACTACCACTTTATATAGTTTAGGGTTTTAGGTTTGGGGAAAAGAAGTAGAAACATATGTATCATGTGGCAAGAACTAAGTTTATCATAGAAATACCCATGAATATGTGAGGGAGGGGCAGGGAAAGGATCAAATAATGCTGTGCATAGTAGTTAACTCAGATAACTTCTTTATGTAAAAAGTATCATACTAGCCATATATAAACAACATTTTAATGCAAATACAAATTTTATTTCATTTCCTAAAATGTACATGTGTCCAGTTTTACTCTAAGAATAACTCAACAGATGTCTAAGTTGTTCATATATTCCTAGGGTCCTTTGCTCAAACACTAAATTAAAATGCATAGTCCAGTATTCGTGCCTCAAATCCTAGGAAATACGATTTTGTTTATTGACAGCTCTGGTCAAATATGCTGGGAGAGAGGATATTTATAATTCACTGCTTTTGTTGACATTCACTTAAATTCTGTTGTTTTTAAAGATCAAGTTAAAGACTACACAGGCCTGCAAAACTCAACATAACATCCTGGGAAATCTCCCAAATGTACTTTGACAGCAACAATGGATAAGCAACTAACCACTTAATTTAAGACTTTATATTTGCTGTTTATGTTATAGTCCTAAATTTGCCAGTTAATTTGTATCTTTTAAAAAATGAATTTTATTTGTATAAAGATCTCTCAAAATTCATTAGCTGATCACATTAAAAGGGAGTGGAGCTGAGTCCATAATAAAGGTTAATGTACTCAGTGAGCAAGTTATGGGCCAAGAAATATTCATTTTCTAATAAACCATTCGACTTTCTAATTATTTTAAACTGTTGGATATTGTTGGCCAGTCTTAGGGCCAAGAACCAACTGTTAAAATAATTCCTGGATTCGATTTTCAATAATGCTTATGATGCAAATTTTCTTTCAAGAACTAAATTCTGGGTCGTATTATCTAACATATATCTTTGATTGAGGACATAATACAAATTCATTCTCTTCTAGTATCTTCTAGCCTATCTTCTTCCCCCTGTTACTTCCACATTTCTCCTCTTCCTCACTAATCCGTAGCTACCATTGATCAGATCCATGTCTACTTTGAAAAGGCACCGGGGGTCATTTAATATCAGGAGATCAAATATACTTTCTCAAGCGAGCAAGTAATAGGGCTGAAATTGCCAACTATTAAGAAATAACTGCTTTTTGAGAGTTGAATACATCAAGTGAATGTTTCCCAATATTTTCCATTTTAGTACAAACTTTGGAATATGGTGATGGGTATTTATTGATTTCTATTAAAGGAAATTTAGTCACATTCAATATGAGGAAAAGTGATTAATTTACATATTTGGTTAGTCATTCAAAAACAAAATGTATTAAAGAACACTATAAGGCATGCTCTGGGGTTCAAAACCCAAGGTCCATGACAGAGGATAAAACTGGAGAAAGATGTTGTAGGTGGAATAAACAAAAAGAACAAAGATCCTCCAACAAATCTATATATAAGGTGAATATAAGGATTTCCAAGAATAGGGATGTAGAAAACTTTTGATTACAGAGAATCTCATGTGGATGGCTAGCAAAGAATTTTTGTCTTTCACATGTAGGAGAGGAAGCCATGAGGCTTTCTGAGCAAGTATAAGGAAGAAGGCCTTGGGTATAGTGACAAGTCTTCCACTTGCTGGACCTATTATTTCTTCATTTACAAAATCAGAAGGGTAAGGTGTTCTATAGGTTCTTTTCAGCAGAACACTTCTGCAATGTTGGGAAATGACAGAAGTCTACAGGAAATGATGGTGGTAGTGGTATGAATTAGGAAGCTCCTCAAAGTTCTAGGGAATGAGATAAGGACAGAAGTGAGACCTCAGAGACAGGAAGGATATAGGCCCCTAGTGTTTGGGCAGATTGTACATTGCTTATCTCTAGGA